TATTCAGGGGGTAAGTAACACTGCAGGGCAGGGCTGTGCAGAATTGATGGTATTTAGCTTCCAGTCTTTGGCTCCTCTGGACTCCCACTGGGTTGCCTAGGCTACTGAATTGTAGTGACTCAGTTCCTTAACTCTCCCCCACTGATATGTAAATCCAAAGAGGAGGCCTGCTCTTTGTCTCTTGGGAATTCTTCAAGTCTGGCAGCCTTGTAACCTTTGCAAGGTTAGGGGGAAGAGAAACCCCGAAGCTTTTTTTTTTCCTTCTTTCCGGTAGTGAGTTTGCTGCACTTTCCGGCCCCCCTCTAGATTCTGACCCCCGTTTCCCCACCAATGTCTCGGGTTATTGAGCTCACCTCCCCTTCCAGCGCCGATGTGTGGACTCGGAGCCCTGAGCGTCTCAAGTCTCCCCGCTGTTTTCTGTGTGGCGTGCACTCTCCTTGGAGCACTGTCGCGCAGACCCTGGGGCTTCTGTGGCTGGGTCCCGCGACTTTGCTTCCGTGCGGTGGGCGACCTTGTTCTCCCAGTAGGTCGTCCGATTCACGCCTGCTCCATTCAGAAGGGTTTCCCCTGCAATTTTTGTTTGGTTCTATTTTCTGCGGCTACCGTAACTCCCCTTTTATTAAACTAAATTTTCCCGGACTATCGGTGCGCGCCCTCACTATTCCGCCATCTTGGCTCCCTAGATAAAGTTTTAAATATATATTTCTAGAAAAGGTTAGAAGCAAAATTGTGTAGGTGGTAGTAATATCTAAGATTGTCAGAGGTAATATGTCAGATAAACACAGAGAATAAAATGTATGATTATCACTATGTATTTGAGATGAGTCAACTTCATATTCTGATGCTTTCCTGTATTAGAGATGAAAAAACAGTTTAGCTCAGTGGCCAAGCTCATTTTCAGTGGTAAAGGAATACATCAGACACTTTAAGCGAGCAAGTTCCTAAACTCAAAAATACAAAAAGAGCAGTATGCACTGGAGATGTGTGAGATTTGAAGGGTATTGAAGAGCCTCATGACACTGTGTCCTAAAATAGCCACACTGGATTGTATTATGATGGTGTTTACAGAGATAAGTGTGAAAGAACCTTTTTCTGCTCACGTGTATGCTAGTGGACTAATCCCATACCTGCAGCATTTTACTCACTTTAGTTGCAAGAATTTCCTAAATGTCTTGACCTACAGGTTTATTTTTTTTTCTTAATTTTTATTCAGAAGTCTTAGAATCAAAGTGAAACAACTGTAAAAGTAGTAAAATGGTCTAAAGATTTTTAGTGTTGTATGCTTTGGTCAACATAAAAATATCCTAGGATTTTAGTTAATTATAATCACAGCTAAAATTTACTAAAGGTTGTATTGTCAGTCACCGTTATACCCAAATAGCTTGCATGCACTGTCTTTTATCCTCATATCTCTACAATATAAGTATCATTTGTTTCATATATAAATGAAGTAGTTGCGGCTGAAGGAGGTTAAGAAACAGATACGAAGTTCTGAAAACAAACCAGGATCCTGGCAGCAACTGGCATGGTCTGCACGGGTTTGCTGCTCAAGACTACTTGTTTGATCAGATGTTTCATATGTTACAAGAGGAAAGGAGCATGTTCCACCAAAGAAAGTGAATTATTGCAAGGAGCACATGGTTTCATCACAGTTATAGCTGTGGGCAGGTCCACAGCCTCCTCCCTCCACATGGGCTCATATTTGGTATCTGAGCATTTTGGTTCCAGAGGTTCCATATTCACAAGTTAGCAGGATAGCCAGGGCATGATGCCTATAACGGTGAATAAGAATGTTTTCTTTCTTTATCCAAGTCTACATATGTTGGATAGCTTTAATTTTCCTTTTTTATACTGCCTATCCATGATTTCAGTTTTTGAAGTACTTAATGTGTTAACACATGGTTTTATTATATGCATGGTAAGATTTCTGACTACTTAAATTCTACCTGTTTAGAATTTTAGATTTTCCTCCTACTCTTCTAATCTACTTATGACCCAGGTAAGCTCCACCAAATCTGCTTTTTCTATATTGTCCATTACTTCCTCTTAAAGATTTTTGTGCCACTTCTTACTGATCATGGGCTTTGTTCCAAAAAACAAAAGGCATATTCCCACAGGGAAGGTGGGTGGATTTTTAGAATCCATGTCTTTTATGGTTTTGTCAAAATGTTGTAATTCTAGATCCAGTTGTCCCGTGTCTTTGTGCCATTTGATCATGAGAGTAGGGGAAGTAACTAGGGATACAAATCCTACTTTAGGATTTGGGTAGATTATTGTCTTTATGCTTTTTCCCTTTTTCTTTATTTTTGAATTTCTCTCTCTTGTTTTGTTCTCGCTTTTGTTAACTACCTTTATCTTTCTTTTTCTCTTTTTAAATCCTTAGTTAACAAGCAAAGTACCAACTACAATACCATATGATTCCTTTGTGTATAGTTATCATAGCTAAAATAGCTTCTACTGATTGGACACTGAAAATACTGGATATTTCATTCCTAGTTGTAAATAACACTATACAAGTTAGTTATTACTGTTTAGTATTACTGAGTTTAGTTATTACTGAGACAAGATAGTTATTATCATTTCTGTTTTACAAAGGAAGTATATTATGTCACAATCCATCAACTTCATCACATTGCGTCTCATCATAAATTTATACTAAAGTTGACTCATTTATCATCCATTTGTTCATTATTCATAAAACACATTTATTCTACCAATATTTACTGAACATCTGTTATGTGCAAATAATGCTCTTAAATATTGTGGAGATTACAAAAATGACTCATAGGTCCCTGACTTTAGGTAGTTCACAAACTCAAGGAAGAAATAGCACCTGTGCATACACACAAGGAAGAGCTCTTGAACTCTCGAAACCCCAACCACTAAAGTATCAATTACAGAAGTAAGATAAATAGATGTTTGTTCAGTGACGGAGCGCATGGTTAATCAACTGATATTGGAAGAATAATGCAGATAAAAGTGTGTGTAGAGGCAGAGGAGAGCTGAAAGGATCAGCAGAGGGTCTACGGGGAATGTGACATTTCGGCAGAATCTGGGATAGAGCTCAGAAGTGAGGAAAAGACATTGCAAGAGAGGAAACTGCATGATCTCCATCTGAGGTGGGTGATTGTGAGGTATGAAACAGATGGGAGCTAAATGCACGAGGCAAGCGGTAGTGATGCAGGTGAAAATCTAGGCTGAAGTTCCTAAAGCACTGACTACAGGATGTGGGTTTATTGACTCAGCAGCCTTTTAACTGAAAATTACTGCAAGGTTTCTTTTTTTTTTTTTTTAAAGATTTATTTATTTATTTGAAAGTCAGGGTTAACACAGAGAGAGGAGAAACAGGGAGAGAGAAAGAGGTCTTCCATCCGATGGTTCACTCCCCAATTGGCCGTAACGACCAGAGCTGCACCAATCCGAAGCCAGGAGCTTCTTCCGGGTCTCCCATGTGGGTGCAGGGGCCCAAGGACTTGGGCCATCTTCTACTGCTTTCCCAGGCCATAGCAGAGAGCTGGATCAGAAGTGGAGCAGCTGGGTCACGAACCGGTGCCCAAATGGGATGCCGGCATTTCAGGCCAGGGTGTTAACCCGCTGTACCACAGCGCCGGCCCCTGTAAGATTTCTTAATTGTACACAAAGCAGAGAAATAAAACTCTCAGTAGAAAACTCCATTTGAAAATCCCAGGGGGCCGGCACTGTAGCGTAGTAGGTTAGGTGTCTGTTTGTGGTCCTGGCATCTCATATGGGCACTGTCTTGAATCATGGCTGCTCCACTTCTGATCCAGCTCCCTGCTAATGGCCTGGGAAAGCAGTGGAAGATGGCCCAGGTTCTTGGGCACTTACACCCATGTAGGAGACCTGAAAGAAGCTCTTGGCTTCAGCCTGGTCTTGCCCTGGCCATTGTGGCCATTTAGGGAGTGAACCAGTGGATGGAAGACCGACCTCTCTGTCTTCCCCTCTCAAAATAAACAAATAAATATTTTTTTTTAAAAAAAGAAAATCCCAGATGGATTTAGGAAGAAAAAAATGTACTGCCAGTAATCTTTAAGTGTTTGAAATATTTAATAAGTATCTTGGATTTAAAAAAAAAAAAAACTTGCTCCCTGTTGAAGCCTCAAAAAACAAAATAAAATAAGTCAAAACTATCTCATAGTTGGATATGGGTAGGGTAAAGATTTCTATTATCAGCATCAAAGTTCTTCACATTTAGAATACATATTTTAGTCTCATTCTTCGTTTGACCTGTTTCTCCAGTTCCAAGACAAATTTATTTGGTATGGTTCTGTCTCTGATAAACCACAAAGCACAGTGGAAGTATCAGCAGGATATTTTTCTTTGGCTATTCCATAGAGAAATTGGCCAGACTTCAGAGTCTGATAATCTTGGATTGCAGCTCTGGTTTCATGCTCACTAACTATGTGATCTTGGACTAGCCAGCTCATTTTCTACTCCTTAGTCTCTACTAAAAAGTGAAGTAAGAATACCTGTCTCATAGGATTTATGCAGATTAACAAATACACACACCCACCCACACACAATCACATGTAGATGCTACTTAGAAAATAGTGGTAATTTTCTCCTCATTCTGTCTTGATTTCTTGTTCTGCAAATTTTTATGATTTAGTTTATTTAGCTATGGAAGGAAGAGGACAGACTTTGACAGATCTCTCAGGTTTGGGAAAATGGTATAACACAGTGGTTAAAACACAGCCCTGGTACCCCCCACCATCTCAAAACTTGAACATAAGTTCCATGAGAAGTGGGGACTTGTCTGTCTGGTGTACTGCTGTTTCCCCAGCACTTCAAGAATGTCTCAGTGAGAAGAGATGCTCAGCAAACCCATAGAAGGGTGAACATTTTGGTTAATTCATTGGCTCTAACCAATCGAACCACTCGACCTTGCACAAATCTTTACCTTCTCTGCTTCTTTTTTTTTTTATCTCAAGAATAGATTTAATAGCAAGGTTTTAAGTCAGATAATACATTTAAACAACCTTAGAACAGCATGTTGCCTATATGAGCATGTCCTAAGTGTATCTCTAAATGAGAAGTGCAAGCTGAGTTGGGTAAACAAATAGAGACATTTAGGTGTGGAAGTCTCTCTCATCAAGTGCTCCCTCAAGCACCTTCCCAAACTCTACAGTGGTCAGGTACCTCCTCCCTACAATGTGTGACCCAATGCTATTCTGCTTTTAGAAGGCGACCCTTCTGAGACATGCTTCATAGAGAGGGGATGCTCCCTCCGCAAGGGAAAGCAGAAGGAACCAGCGGAAGGAATCCGGGCAGATTCGCCACCAAAATTTTCACCACCAACCTGATCTCATTTACTCTTCCACTCTCTGAGTGATTTACTATTCTTTTCATGACACATGTGCAGAAATAGGGCTTCAAGGTCACACAGGTCTATGTGAATGAGGCTGCACAACCTTCCTGCCATACGGCAATAAGAAGCACACAGCTAGTACATTCCTCCCCAGTCCCTCTGATGGTGTTGCTGTAGAACAAATGCAAATCTTCCATCTCTGGCTACATGGGGCCCAGCAGCAACATGGTGGTTCTCTCCTATGAGAATGAGAAAAGTGCTCTAGAAGAAAAATGTTTTTTCATGTCTTCTGCATGGAAGATACACAAGATGTAAGAAGGACTTTGCACTAATCATGACACATTCAAATTCAAATCTCTGCTCCATACTGTAGGTTATTTTTATCACCTGTTAAATATTTCTACACTCTCATCCTGAAGAAATAGCAGGTTTGAAGTCATCAGGGACGCTATTGACACCTCCTATACGACTAAAAATAAGTGAAGAATTTTATCGCAATTTTTAAAGAAGTTGGCATTGCCAACTTCTACCCAGTATAAGCGTACTTCATGCCATTAGTAGCTGCTCAATGGACCTTGGAAGCACCATGCAATTTTCCTCTAAATGGCACTGTATTGTTACTACTTCCTTCCCAGGTATAATGAGAGACCCCCTATTAAAAAAACTATCAGATAAGCAGAAACATTTATCAGATGTCCAAAGGTACTATGGCCTTTTATCAAAATAATGATTATTCTTTGTGATTTTTTCCACTATTCAATGAAATGGCAATGCCTGATTCTACTGAATACAAAGATCTTGTGATACACCTGGTAAACAGCATAGCATGTATTTGCATTTTTCATTTAAGTTACTCATTTGAAAGGGAGAGAGAGAGATTGAGAGGGAGACATAGAGATAGGTCTCCCTTTTATTGATTCATTCCACAAACACTCATGCCATGCAAGGTAAGCTGAAACTGGGAGCGAGGAACTCAGTCCAGGTTCCTCACACAGTGGCAGGGACCCAACTACTTAAGCCACCAACTGTTGGGAGCAGACCTGGAACTTAGAACAAGGCATGAAGACATGGAATATGAGAGTCCCAAATGACATCTTTTTTAAAATTATCTTTTTCTTGAAAACAGGGACACATATCACAAAGTGAGGGATTCATGGTAATGATCAAATGTGACTTAAGAGGGATGTATTGACATATATATGGTATAATTCAGTGAAGCAATATTTATAAGTATATGCCACATAACATTCACACAATTTTAATACTCTATATTAACTTCCACAAATGAGAGAACATATGTGATATCTGTCTTTCTGGGTCTGGCTTATTTTACTTAGCATAATGATCTCCAGTTCCAGACATTTTATTGAAAATGTCAGGATTTCATTCATCTTATGGCTGAGTAATAATCCCTCATGAATATACACACCACATTTTCTTTATTAATTCATCAGTTTATGGACATCTAGGTTGTTTCCATATCTTTGCTATTGTGAATTGAGCTGCTATAAACATGGGTGTGCAGGTAGCTCTTTCACATGTTGATTTCATTTCCTTTGGATTTATGCCCAGTAGTGGGATGGTTGGGTCATACGGTAGATACATTTTTAGTTTTCTGTGGAATCTTCATATTTTTCTTAACAGCTGCACCAATTTGTATTTCCACCAACGGTGTGTTACATTACACTTTACAACCTTGCCAGCATTTGTTATTCTTTGAATTTTTAAAAGATTTATTTATTGGAAAGAGTGATAAATAGATCCTGTAAAAAAAGGATTTGTTTAGTTTTTCCTATGAAAGGTAGAGTGACACAGAGAGGGAGGGAGGGAGGGAGAGAGACATCTTCCATTTGCTGGTTCACTCTCCAAATATCTACAATAGCCAGGTGCCAGCCAGAGAGAATCCGGGAGCCAGGAACTCTATCTTGTTCCCCATGTGGCTGGCAGAGGCCCACGCACTTTGTCCATCTTCCACTGCTTTCCCAGACACATTATCAGGAAGCCGGGTCAGAAATGGAGCACCTGGGCCTGAAATCAGCTCTTTGATATGGGAAGACAACATTGCCAGTGGTAGCTTACACTGATGTGACACAACGCAGGCTGTGAGGAAGAGAACTTACATCCTCTGGCTCACTGGCCAAATGGCTACAACAGCTCTGCCTGGACCAGCCAGAAACCAGGAACTCCATCTGTGTCTCCCGCATGAATGGTAAGACTGCTCAGGTACATTAGTGGGTCAGCTGGATCAGAAGTGGAGCAGCCAGGATGGGAAGCAGCACTCTGATATGGGGTGTGAGCATCTCACACAGATGTTTAACCTGCTGTGCCACAACACCCACACCCGAATGGCATCCTACCCCCTGCACCAAACGCTTGCCCCTTATTTGTATTTTTACTGTTTTCTGGTCTTCCTGCAGAATCTAACTGAACATATTTGATTAGTGGAGTGCTGTAGCCAGCACGCAGAAAAGATCTCAAGAAAAATACTCCCCACTACGATATTAACCACCTCAGCATAATTATTTAACGATTTAAGGAATTATTTAGATCTGCCCTAGTTCCAACCAATAGAAAGTTTAACATCTTCACATCCATAAGACTGTTGTTTGCAAAGTCAAATGACAGCAATTTGACTAATTTATATAATGTTTCACAGAAGAAAAAAATTACTGTTATTATATAAAGTCTTAGCTCCTGTTTAGCTTTGGAGTTGACAAATCTGCATAGCATATAGAGTTCATCCACTTCTCTCCTGACTATGGGAAATTTCAGGTCGATTCTCAAGGCATGCTTGAGCATCATGGAGTAATTTCTAGTTTTCCTTGTTTATTTGTTTCTCCTGTTAGAAATTCCACTGAGCTATGACTCATTAGTAGGCTGATATCTCATTATGTGCTGCTAATGCATGTTTCAGGGCAGAATTTTCAGTCAGCATACATATTTTACAAACAATGTGGAGTATTTGGTTGAGTGGTTAAGATGCTACTTGGTATGCTCATGTTCCACCTCTGAGTGCCTGGGTGGAGTACTGGCTCAACCCCAGATTCAGCTTCCTGCTATGTTGTACTCTGGGAGGCAGCAGATGGTGACTCAAGTAGTTGAGTCCCCATCACTGTCAAGTGGGAGACCTGGATTTAGTTCCTGGTTCCTGGCTTTAGTCTGGCCCTACCCTGACTATGATGATGGGCATTTGGGGACTGAACCAGCAATGGGAGATCTCTGTCTTTCTGTCTCTCTGTCGTTCAAATAAATAAAATCAATTTTAAAAAAAGGAATGAGCAATGTATACTACTATGTTTTCACAAAAGTGATACAAATTAAAAGTTTTCAAAGTTTAAGCAATATGCAAAATTTGAATTTTGCTTATGAATTCAATGTATATTCTAGATTAAAACAGTAAAGGGAAGCATCCTAGTATATTGTTATTACTCAAATAAAAGAGCATTTTTCTCCCAATAAATTAAGAAACATGACAATTTTCTGTCATCCAAGCACATCAGAAAACCCATTTTTATGGAATTTGCTTAATTACACTTATGGAAATTCAGAATTGTATTGAAATATTCTTCATTGAATTTAAATATTTAATTGTGTAATATGTTTAATTTATTGGGAAATGGGATTCATTACATTAAGAGTTTAGTAACTCAAGGTAATAAAATAATTAATATGCTCTGATATAATGGATGTGTGTTAATTGTATATGTTTGTTAAACCTATCTGGGATAAAATGTTAGGTGTTTGCTTCTTCTGTAACTTTTTAAAATTTTAAAGGCAGAAGCAGAGAGAGAGAGAGGGAGCGAGCGAGAGAGAGAGAGATCTTTCACCCACTGGTTTACTCCCTAGGTAGTCCCAACAGCTGGGGATGGGTCAGGCCCAAGCTAGGAGCCAGGAACTCCAGCTGGGTCTCCCACATGGGTGGCAGGGAAAGCATCCACTGCTTTCCCAGGTGCACTAGCAGGGACTGGATTGGAAGCAGAGCAGCTGGGACTTGAACTGGTGCTGTGATATGGAATGTAGACATTGTAAGCTGTGGCTTAACCCACTGAGCTCCAACAGCAGCCCCTGTATTTTATAAAAATCTTTAGTTCACACAATGATTCCACCCACTATCACTCAAAACATGTTGGTGATACAAGTCGAGCCATTTTCAGGAAGCAGCTATTAAACTTTGTGCCAGCACAGTCAGTCAGGCAGGGAAGGTGGAGGCTGTTCAGGAAGCTGAATTTTTCCCAGAATAATGAGATGGGCTTACGTTCCTTGAGTGTGGGCCAGGAAACGTGAAGTGGTGAAATGATTAACTTCTTGTCTGAGTTTTAGAATCTAGGAATGTTGAAGAACCACATCAGCTATACAAACAATACAGCAATAATATGAAACTCTAATACAGTATTTTAAACAAATATAGCTGTAATAATACAATATTCTAATGCTACATTTCTTTTAACCTTCAAGGTGTGTTAAGGGCTTTGTGAGAGGAAAAGTCATTCAATATAGCTCTGATTAAAGATTCTTGTTGTCATTGAAATATTTCAAAAGGGTGCACTGGGGAGAGTTGCTCACTTTGGAAGGAGTAGATGGAAGAGACATAGGTTAAATAATGAGAGAAAATCTGATGATAACAGATTCTCTAGAAACAACTGCAAGAGCCAAGTGGTTTGGGAGGAGCACAGGTACACGAAGTGAAATCACATTGGATAAAACTGGAAAACAGGACTGGGCTCAGTTAAGGAAGGATTTGAATGCCAGAATAAGGAAATTGATGTATTAAAAAAGGAACTTTATTAGAACGGGGTGTGTGTGTGTGTGTGTGTGTGAGAGAGAGAGAGAGAGAGAGAGAAAGAGAGAGAGAAAGAAGAAATAGTTATTTATTTATTTAATCTTCTGGCTTACTCCCTAAATGTCTGCAACAGGGAGATCTGGGACAGGCTGAAGCCAGGGGCCCAGAACTCAGTCTGGGTTTCTCAAATGGGTGGCAGGGATGCAAACACTTGGGCCATCATCTGCTGCCTCCCAGGGCATACATTAACAGGAAGCTGGAATCAGAGCAGAGCTGAGTCTAAACCCAGGCACTCTAATGTGGGATGATGGCATCTTAACTGCTTTGCCAGACCTCTGCCTGCCCCTACTTATTTATTTTTTTGGACAACATTTTATCTCATTGCAGAAATCTAGTGCACAATATTATGGTTTCACAGGGATACTTACAATGGTTGGTTTCCTTATATTCAGAATCATACCTTTACTATTATTTGTTTACAATTTACCAAGGTTCAAAGCACCTTTCTCTTCTTTGTTCTTTAACTCAGCCATAAAATACAGTCCACAAAGTGATGTTTTGTTTTTTTTTTGTTTTTAAATAAAAATCAATGGCAGGAACATTTTAGCTTTAAAGACATAGTCTTTTTTATTTTGGGATTTTAATTAGTACTAAATTGAAAACACACCTCAAATGACAATTTACGTGTAGTGGTGACACACATGGGACAAGCAGAGCCACAGTTACACTGGAACGGGAACGCGACAGGGACTCATGTTTATACAGAGTCAGCGGGGGCTGTGGAGGGCACTGACTCCCACCTGGGTCAGTAGTGCAGGGGGTCTCTGTTTAGAACCTCAACTGCATTCCTCTTGCCATATGAATTGGATCCCACACTGGGAGGTGAGAAAATGGCACCAAAGTTGTTGCTGGAATGAATTAAAAAATTTGCCAGGCGTTGTGTGGCACATGTGACAGTGTTGCATTTCCGTTTTTCCACCTGATGACTGGTAACAGGGAACAAATGTGAAAGGTCACAGAATTAGAACTGGGGTTAGATACAGCCGTGTGACACTAAATATTTCATAGTGATAGGAACTAAAGGACGTTGTTTATAGAAATAGCTGGAGATATCATAGGATATCTATCTTCATGGTCAATATTACATTTCCCAATGTAATTCTTTATTCACAGTTCAGAATACATTCCATGAGCCGGCGCCGTGGCTCAATAGGCTAATCCTCCACCTTGCGGCGCCGGCACACCGGGTTCTAGTCCCGGTTGGGGCGCCGGATTCTGTCCCGGTTGCCCCTCTTCCAGGCCAGCTCTCTGCTATGGCCAGGGAGTGCAGTGGAGGATGGCCCAGGTGCTTGGGCCCTGCACCCCATGGGAGACCAGGAAAAGCACCTGGCTCCTGGCTCCTGCCAGGATCAGCGCGGTGCGCCGGCTGCAGCGGCGGCCATTGGAGGGTGAACCAGCGGCAAAGGAAGACCTTTCTCTCTCTGTCTCTCTCACTGTCCACTCTGCCTGTAAAAAAAAAAAAAAAAAAAAAAAAAGAATACATTCCAGATAATAATTATTAAAATGTCTGTCTTATATTCTTCTAAATCTTGCTGATGATTTAGAAAGTAAAATTTATAGGTCACTTGGAATATGGGGCAATTTTTAAGATTATTCATTTCCTACGTCTTTCAAAAAGAGTTAAACATATTAATTTGTGTTAAGTTCCTTGAGATAATTGAAGCAGGCATGTTAAAGAAATGTTGGATCTGGCTCTGTGGTGTAGTAGGCTAAGTCTCTGCCTGTGGTGCCAGCATCCCATACACTGGGTGCTGGTTCCAGTCCTGGCTGCTACTCCTCAGAACCAGCTCTCTGCTACGGCTGGAAAAGCAGTAGAAGATGGCCCAGATGATTAGGCCCCTGCACTCAAGTGGGAGACCTGGAAGAAGCTCCTGGATCCTGGCTTCAGATTGGCCCAGCTTCAGCTGCTGTGGCCATCTGGGGAGTGAAACAGCAGGTGGAAGACTTCTCTCTGTCTCTCCCTCTATCTGTCTGTAACTCTACCTCTCAAATAAATTCATAAAATCTTTTTAAAAAAGACAAAGAAATGTCCAGAGGAAATGATGCAGCACGTGACAACATGGATGAGTCATGAGGACATTATCCTAAATTAAATAAGCCAGTCATAGAAAGAGCAATACTACATGATTTCGTTAATATGAGTTATCTAAAGCATTCAAACCCATGAATCAAAGAGTTGAATGGAGGCTGCCAGGGACAAAAAGAAAATCACATAATTACTAACCCATGGGCATAAACTTCAGTCCAACAAAATGAATAGAGAATCATCACATAATATCATCAGCATCATCAACAATACTGAAGGGTGTGCTTTAGAGTTTTTAAAACCTTTACTACCACATTTCTTTCCCACCTCAGTAGCTGCTTCTGCGAGCATCATGTGAACAGGATATTTGTGCAATGTAAATGCAGGCTGACAAACCAATTATTCCAGCAAAGGAAACCGATTTGGGGAACTAATTATTTGTTCCTTATCAGTGTTATCCACATTCCCTGTTCAGTTATTTATCCTGAAAGGTATAGTAAGCATGAGCAGTGTTCATTTCAAAGGAGAGACTGAATGCTTGCAAGGATTGAACTGCTAACTCCATACGATGGACATTAAATTCTGAAAGACAAACTTTTCCTGAAGAAGGGCAGGAATTGGAAGTGGGTCAAAATATTGTAAATTAATATATTTAAAGCTATAAAGGAAGTCACAGGTCAAATTGGGAGGGTTCAAAGGCAGTACCCATAGCAAGATATGTGTAGCAAATGATTGGTGTAGAATGTGAAATACTCTCTATCCTAAATGCTGAGCAGTCATTTGATAATTGGTTAGAAGGTCAAGAATAGAGTTTTAATTATTCCAAATAAAACTATGGCTTATTTGAGTTGTGTTAGCACCATTCTACTTAAGAGAAATTGTCAGAGTTTTCCTGTTTGTACACCCTTGAAGGAAGCAGGTGATGGCTCAAGTACTTGATTCCTTATCACCCATGTGGGTGACCCAGACTGAGTTCTGGGGTCCTCGCTTCAGCTTGGCCCCACTCCTACTGTTGTTGGAAATTAGGAAATGAACCAGCAGATGGACGATCTCTGTTGCTCTCTGTCTGTTTGCTTTTCAAATCAAAAAAGTTAATGGGAAAGTATATGGTTCTTTTGCCTTAGACATGAATATACAGTTATTTTGAGTATGGTTTATAAAGTCCCATCTTGTACATATATGAAAGTTGCATAAATCACAAATGATGTGACTGAATTTTATGAGGAAAATGATATTAAATAATAAACCTACACTAGCTTTATGTCTTAAAGGAGCTTAAAATTTGACACCTTTGCTACATAAGCTTTTTTAGTTTTTTATGAAATATGTAGGTTATTAAATGATTTAAAAGGTCAGGATGATATATCGTTTTGTCTTTAAAATAATGACCAAACATACTAATGTCAGGAATCACATTGAAAAGCAATTTGAAGAATATTTTGAAAATATTTCTTTTCTTTTTTTTTTTTTTTTTTTGACAGAGTGGACAGTGAGAGAGAGAGACAGAGAGAAAGGTCTTCCTTTTGCCGTTGGTTCACCCTCCAATGGCCACCGCGGCCGGTGCACCGCGCTGATCGGATGGCAGGAGCCAGGAGCCAGGTGCTTTTCATGGTCTCCCATGGGGTGCAGGGCCCAAGCGCTTGGGCCATCCTCCACTGCACTCCCGGGCCACAGCAGAGGGCTGGCCTGGAAGAGGGGCAACTGGGACAGAATCCGGCGCCCCGACCGGGACTAGAACCCGGTGTGCCAGCGCCGCTAGGCGGAGGATTAGCCTAGTGAGCCGCGGCGCCGGCCAAGAATATTTTGAATATTTCTAACAACGACTCAAAGTAAAAAGTGTGAGAGTAGTATGAAAGCATTCGGATACTAAGTAATGTTATATATTATTCTGTTTCTTAGTGAAGCTCACTTGTAATAAACCAACAGCAAAAGACACGTGAGGCACAGCATCTTAGAATATATCTAAATCTAACAAAAGAAAAGACCAAGATATAGATGTACATACTCTGTAATACTGCTAATTTTCCTGTCATCTTCCAAATATTATGCTTATCAGAAACTACATATTGATTTAAAAATTATTTCTATCTATGAAAAAAAACAGTTGGAAATTACAGCCATTTCTGAGAACATTCTGAACTAATAATCCCTGAAATAACAAAGAAAATCTGATGATGGTTCATGCTGGTTATTAGACCTGTGTGCTGTAGAAATCTGAACACACTGTTATTGATTTCCAAGAAAAAACACCCCAAATGAAAACAAAGACAAGGTGATGATAATTCTAATGAGAAGCATTCTAGGACGACTTGAAGGACTTCTGTGGAGAGTAAAGGTGAATAAGGTCAGTCCCGCAAGACTACATGGAAGAAAACTGATTTGGGCACAAAATCATCAGTACATTATTTATGATATATGCATAGATGGGAACTTGAGAATCTCTTATCAATAGGATATTACCATTTTAAATGGTTCCCATTTGAAAATTGTAATCACTGCCAACAGTCTCATTTGGTATAGTTTTTAGACCTCCTTAAAGCTATCATTTAAATGCCATGATTCCTTTCCAATAAGCCTTCCTAGGAAATTCTGATGCACTGGAAACCTATTGAAAATATTTTTGAAGACGTATTAATTAACATTTATAGCAGCTTATAAGTTACCTCATCAAGAATAACTTCTGGTATTTCTGATTATTTCTTCTAACTTGAACTTCTCAAAGCCTTTAATTTGCCCTCCCCTCCAGATTATTCCTATCCATTTCATTGTTCAGAAAAAGATGTAAAAGCTTTGGATATTTCCATTCTTTTGAGAGATAAAATTTAAAATTTTCTCCAGTGTAAAATGCTTGCATTACTTAAGTTTCTCTGGTTTGTTTCAGTATTAGTAGAACAGAAATTACCACCTCTTGGCTTTTCCTGATTCACGCTTGGGCTTTGCCTTCTAAGTTCTGCCAGCATATTTCTTGAGAAGACTAAGACTACCCGCTCCTGTCTGCCACAAGTTCCACCACAGACAGTCTTTAAAGAACACAAAATTTAAGAAGCAATGAACAGCGTGTGATCCTATTCCTTTAACATGAGTGACTCAGGAATCTACTGGCCCAGGAGCTGTTAGTGATTTAGCTGTATTTGATTCTAATTTCCTGCACTTTACAGAAGAAAAAGAGTATTAGAGTTACTAACCTCTCAACAGGTGGAGCTTTCAGGTGGTTCACTGCAACTGAGAGCACAAGTAGAACTATTGGCAGCTTCAGGATGCACATCGCTCATCTAATTCTCTGAAAAGAATACTGCACACTGAAATCAGGACATTTCATGTAGTTCCAACTGATGCAATTTTAAATTAGAGCCCAGTAAAATAAGTCTTTTGAAAGCATAACTTATAAGACCTTTATTGATATTAAGGGGTTATAGCAATATAGGTCTTATAAATTATATCAATATAGTCCCTTGATATTGTTGAAACAATTTTACAATTATTTTCAAAATTTCTGCTTACTCTGTTCCCTTTTCTATAAACAATCTGGAAGATTGATATATAATACATTAGCTCTTTACTTTTACTTTGAAATATACCATATATTTAACAGCAGGTCTGCTTTTCCCTAAATAAGTAATACTTTCCCCCAAACAGGACAATTTTTACCTTTTAATCTAGTAATATCAGAAAGTGACTTTGATAGTCAGAAAGCTTCATGGAAACAAGGTCAAGCTTGAATCCCAAGCTTTGCTGCTGACTTGCTAACCAGTGCTCCAGCTCTTAAATACCCTTCACACCTTTCTCAGCTCTGACATCAGGCAGCTCACAGAGACCTCATTAATTTCCATCCCCATAGACAGAAAGTGCCTCATTGACAGCAGAAACAGATGGACCACTATCACCGTAACACATTAGTAAATATTAACACAGCAGATACAGCTTGTCTTTCTGCAGCTCAGGGCGTCATACCCAGCACAAATTTGAATTTGCTATCTTTGTAAAATAGGAGTGAGTCTTCAAGAATCAAGCCTCTGTGATAGCAAGACATTAATAAAAAGAAGTGATTAAGAGTAGCAACTGATGGGCTGATGTAGGAAGAATGAAGCCAGAGACGTGGAGTGGTGTGCTGTTGGTCACGCCAAGTGGCTGTTCCCTTGGGGTGTTGCCAAATATCAGTCTCAAGCAGGAGTTGCTCAAGAAAATGTTAATGACTTGTGAGAAGTAAAGGAGACAGTCGGGAGGTATGAACCCCCAGAGAAACCACCTTCTGCAGGAGCAGGTTGCCGGGGGCTTCTATAGAAAGGGTTAGAAGAGTGTCCAGGATGTAGAAAAGGGGAGGTGGCTGACCCTTTCAAGTGACACACGTCTTCACACGGTGTTTAAAATGCTGACTCAGATGTCTCTGGTTTGCTGTGATCTGGCCCCCTGCTTCCCTGTACAATGTTTTAAGGTCAGCTTTCCTAGGAGTAAACTGGTCAGATCCTGTGTCCCTGTGCTTGTACCTGCCTCTGCCTAAATCCTACACTTGGGCTTACAGGTGTAACTGAATACAAATGACCCTGATGACTTAATGCTATGGACATTTAAGAAACAGATTGAACTAGAAGGCTGTGGTATATAAAAATGATGTAAGTGAGAAAACAAAATACATTCACAGTGAAATATGAAGGGATTAGCTGCTTAAAACAATAATTTTATATAAAAAATTAGTTTATCAGCATTTAAACAGAGATGTGAGAGGAGGAGCGTGGTGGGGCAAGAGGCACGGAGTTACCACACAGACCCTGGGAGTCGGGTGAAATCAGGCCAGAGGCGAGCAGCCCACAGACACGTTTATTTCAGTTGGTACAGCACCATAAATAGCCAGGGCAGCCAATCTGGTCAAGGGGCAGTCTATGCTCTAACCAATCACAGCCTGTTGCCAGGCAGGCTCTATTGTCATGTGGTTTCTGAAGCCATCCAATCACAGCCTGTTGCCAGGCAGTTTCTGTTGCCAGCGGCCATCTTGGCATGGCCCTCTCATTCCACCACAGAGATGCATCACTATACATAGCCAAGCAGCTTTGGATGACTTTCCATTAATCATTATGTGGAAATACTTCAATTATTTTGAAGAAATAGATTTTTCTTTCAGCTTCATGAAGAAGTTATGAAAGGCTCCGATCATAACAGCACTCTCCAGTTTGCCTTTTAAAGTCATCTGTTGTTTTTAACTCTTTCCATTTTTTTTAACATTTCTAAATTATATCTAAGGTCCTAACAACTTGATGTAATGTACAGCGAATAAAAGAATTTCCAACTGTCCAAGAAAATATGCATAACTTTGTAGTACAAAAGAGATGGGCATTCTCAAACAAAAAAATTAGATTCATTGATTTCATAGACTTCTTTAAAGCTGAGTGACACAATTTTTGGGTAGAGATTTCAGAGAAAAGAAACAAACTTGTTCCCAATCCTTGATCTAATTATCTGACGATGCTACAGTTTTCACATTTCTGTGACAATTACTGAGATTCCAAAGAAAATGATAACAAAAACAAAGGGCTTGAAAAGATACTGGTTTCCTGTAAGATGATAATGCATTTTTCAAATTGTATACAGTGTTTTAGAAAAGATACAGGGACCCAGAGATATTAAATCTTATCCAACTGCAAACATTGAGTCAGTGTTGAATTACAGACCGAAGCTCAATTTTTCTGATTCTTTGTTGAGTGTTTATCTAGACCAAAATACTTGCTTCTAATCTACATATTTATTTCACTCAGTTTTCATGTCCTTTTTTGTTAAGGGTGCCAAACGTAATATTCCAAAATGGATTCCCCTTCGCTCCCTGAAAAATTAATGCCAAAAAGAAAACGTTCTTCTTAAGAAAGGTGAGGTAGTTCTGGTATTTTTTAAGAACAACTATGTCAGGCACAGTGATTTTAATTGATATGTGATGCCTCACTTCATCGGCACACATCTAAGGGGTGCATCATTCGCCCAATTTACAGTTGATGAGATCAAGATTCAGACAATATGACGAACTTCCTCAGGGCTACACAGCTCCACTGGGGCAAGGTGAAATTCAAATTCTCACTTGGCCATCTCAGAATATTTCTTTGGTAAAAAGAAAAAAAAAAGATCTCTGTTCCCATACACTGAATTGCCAATTGCACTCTCTGGGCTGTTATGTGTTATTGTAACCCCTGGATGATCTTGTTTTGACAAGAAAATGGCCTTCAGTTGTCCTTACAGAGTTTATCGCAAGGTTGATATCTATCCCCATCTCTCATCTTCCCATACCAGTGAAAGTGAAAGCTGGTCCACAGATTCCATTCTCTACCTGGCAACCCCATCACCATCTCCTAGGCTGCTTCTTACAAGAAAACATCACTGTTACTCATCTTTGAATACTCCCTACCCTTGTTAGTCCACCTGTTTGAAGGCGCTGACTGCTTTGGCATCAGCTGGGAGTTTGCTGGAAATGCAAAATCTCAGGCTGCACCTCAGATCCACTGAATCAAAATCTGCACTAAACAAAAAAGCACTAAACAAAAATTCTTCTGGGCTGAGTGTTTGGACTCACGGTTAAGATACAGGTTTAGATGCCCATGTCCCACACTGCAAAGCGTGGGTTCAAATCCCTTCTCTTGCTCCTAACTCCAGCTTCCCACTAATGCAAGCATTGGGAGGCAGCAGCGATGGCCCAAGTTACTGAGTTTGCACCACTCACATGGGATTGAATTCCTGGCTCCTGACTTCAGCTGGGCCAAGGTCTTCACAGGCATTTGGGGAGTCAATCAGCAAGTGAGAACTTAACTCTAAAAATAAAAATAAAAAGTACTTCTCAGGTTACTGAATACACACTAAGCTTGCAAAAAAAGTGCCTGGCAATACATTCTGTGGCTTTAAGTGCTTGAGTAAGAATCTGCTGCTCGGAAGAGGGCACCTTAGCAGGAAGCTAGATCAGAAGTGGAGGTAGCCTCTCTCTCTCTCTCTGTAATGCTACCTTTTGAAATAAATAAATCTTTTGAAGTTTTTAGGTACTTCCACATATGGTTAATTTGTATTGTATATCTAGTAACTTCAACATTTGATTTTCCTTGGAAACGTAATCTGTATTTTGTTCCTGATAACTCTCAGTTGTAGTGATTTGATTTGCATTTATTAGGTCATACGTCTTTTTAAGTTTTGAACACTTTGTATCAATTTTGTTATAAATCGACAGTTCTAATTGCACATATTTAATTGTAATGAGGTTGAAAGTGACATTGTAATTGATGAATGCAATGACGAAAAATAGTTAAACCAAAATAATGAACATGTCCATCATCTCGAATATGTAACACTTTGTTGTGGTGGGAATATTTGAAAATTTACTCTCTTTGTAATTCTAAAATCCACAGTACATTCTTGTGAACTATATTTACCATGCTGGAAGCAGAAAAATATAGTGGTTCTGCAACAGATCTCAAAAGAAAAGCCATATGTCTCCTGTTTGAGTTTGTAAACCCTATGACCACCTTCCGCCCATTTCCCTACTCCCCGGTCTCTAACCACCATTCTGCCCCCTGCTTCTGTGACTCTGACTGTTTTAGATCCACAGTACATTCTTGTGAACTATATTTACCATGCTGGAGGCAGAGAAAGATAGTGGCTGTGCAACGGATCTCAAAAGAAAAGCCATATTTCTCCTGTCTGAGTTTGCGAACCCTATGACCACATCCCCCTATTTCCCTACTCCCCGGCCTCTGTAACCACCCTTCTGCTCTCTGCTTCTGTGAGTCCAGTTGTTTCAGATTCCACACATAAGCAAGGACACACTGTTTGTCTACCTGTACCTGGCTTATTTCACTGCCTTCCTAGGTTCTCCAGTTCCATCTATGTTGGCACAAATGACAGAATTTCCTTCTTTTTAAGTGCAAACTAACATGTTAATATGTGTGTGTGTGTACCACATTTTCTTTATCAGTCTAAATCCTATCTTCTTATACTTGATCCGAGAGAATCCTAAAGGTCCCTGTTGGGGATGCTGTCCTGGATAGGATTTGGTTGCTTCTGCTGCTCTCCGGAACTTTCCAACATCTGGAATCACTTTTGCTCCATGGAGGGTGTGTGTGTGCATTTTAGGGTAATCTAAGAAATTTGCATTAGCTTCCTAACCTTCACAGAGACCCGAAGCTGAGGCCCCCGGGATCCTAGGGACTCTATCAGTACTTGTTCCCCGTGGCCTCCCTTCACTTACTGTTTGCACTCTTCGTCCAGGTTCCAGTTCACTGCTTCCCCCACAATGCGATTTCCTTCCTTTCTTGTGAGCGTAGCTACAAACGGATGTTTGTATTAGTTTATGCAGGTCCTAGTTGACTTTTAGTGGGCGAATCTTAGTATAAAGACATATTGCAGCCGGCGCCGCAGCTCACTAGGCTAATCCTCTGCCTTGCAGCGCCGGCACACCGGGTTCTAGTCCCGGTCAGGGCACCGGATTCTGTCCCCGTTGCCCCTCTTCCAGTCCAGCTCTCTGCTGTGGCCAGGGAGTGCAGTGGAGGATGGCCCAAGTGCTTGGGCCCTGCACCCCATGGGAGACCAGGAGAAGTACCTGGCTCCTGCCATCGGATCAGCGCGGTGCACCGGCCACGGCGCGCCGGCCGCGGTGGCCATTGGAGGGTGAACCAACAGCAAAAGGAAGACCTGTCTCTCTCTCTCTCTCTCTCACTGTCCACTCTGTCAAAAAAAAAAAAAAAAAGACATATTGCAGGAAACAGAGGAGTGTCTGCATGTTGTGGAGTCTTTTGAACTATATAGCCGAATTACCCACTAGAAGCAGTGTAATAATCTATACTTCTCTTGAATTGTATTAGTGGGTAACTGAAAAAAAAAAAAAAACCCAGGGATCACATGATAAAACATGTGATAAACATGTTTTAAAACATGTTTATAATATAAACACATGATAAAACAGTATCTTCTTGTTAACACTTCTTTTTTAACAATATTTTACTAATTTTTTGAGATATTATATAATTTTCTAGTATTTATTTATTTATTTGAAAGGCAGAGTTACAGAGGGGCAGAGGCAGAGAAAGAGAGTGGTCTTCTATCCACTTTTCACTTCCCCAGATGGCTGCAATGGTCGGAGCTGAGCTGATCCAAAGCTAGGAGCCAGGAGCTTCTTCTGGGTCTCCTGCACATGCAGGGGCCTAAGGACTTGGGCCATCTTCCACTGCTTTCCCAGGCCATAGCAGAGAGCTGGACTGGAAGTGGAGCAGCCAAGACTCAAACTGGCACCCATATGGGATGCTAGCACTGCAGGCAGTGGCCTTATCCACTACACCACAGTACCAGCCCTGAGATATTATATTTTTAATTTACATTATAGTCAAAGACTTAAAGGCTTTACAACATATAGGGTTCAATAAATAAGAAGCAAAAAGATAATAGTCAAGCAGGAAAATAGGCAAGAGCTATAAACAATAATCAAATGAAAAAATATTCAGCTCCATTCATATAAATTTTAAAATATTCAAAACTCATTAAAATGATAGTAGTATATAATTCCTATCAATGTGTTTGACAAAGATTTAAGACAGTTTGTGTTTACTTACTTCTTTGAGTACTAGTGAAGCTTAAAATTTTAAAGCTTAAAATTTTAAATTTAGACATTTATGCATGTTTTTTAGTCACTTGGAAATATGGATCTGGATAACAGGATAGGTCTGGCCAGGAAAAGAGCTTTGAAGGAAACCGTTGAACATGAAATTATACAAGCCACAGAGAACACGCGCCACTAGAATATCCTAGAATAGGGGATATCTTGGAAAAGAAGAGAATTCTTCAGTCACCTGAGGAACAGGTATTAGGAAGAGATAAGGATACTTGGGGCCAGGGCTGTGGCTCCGTGGGTTGAGCTGCGGCATGCAGTGTTGGCATCCCATATGGGTGTCAGTTCAAGTCCTGGCTGCTCCACTTCCAATCCAGCTCTCTGCTGATGTGCCTGGGAGGTCAGCTAAGATAGCCCAGATCCTTGGGCCCCTGCCACCCATATGGGAGACCCAGAGGAAGTTTCTGGGCTCCTGGCTTCCTCCAGGCCCAGCCCTGGTCATTGCAGGCATCTGGGGAGTGGGCCAGCTGATGAAAGATCTCTTTCTCTCTCTGTCTCCCCTTCTCTCTCTCTGTGATTCTGCCTTTCAAGTAAATAAATAAATCTTTAAAAATAGGTAATAAAAAGAGATAAGAATACTCAAAAATGATTTGGGAGAGATAAAAGTAGTGCCAGAAATTAAATGAAGAGAAAGTTTCAAGAGGGAAAGGTTGATGTGAGTGTTACATGATGCATATAAATTACACAGATGAAGACTAGAATATAGAAATAAAAGTTTACTGATTGACTATCACTAGGATGCAGAGTTCTGGATAAATCTAGAAACACAAACAATAGGATTGAATGAGTCCTGAACAGTTGCTAATGTAGATCGAAGGATCTTAACATATTTGAGAGTCCTTATGAGACTATGGTGGAAGAAATAGACTATTTTTTCTGGAACATACTCACATGCACATACAATCTAAATTGTAAATACAGTATTTAGATATTTTGATTTCCAATGACAACTATCTGTATAAGATTTTTTTTTCTCTTGTTAGCACATCAAAGAGGTTTCACTATAAAGGGAAATAGGAAGAAATACTGATACTTTTAGGAGAGGTTAGTAACAGGTTAAGATAACATTTTAAAAGTACCTGGCACTCACTACAGATATGTTGAATAGATGTTTGTTGATTTCTCAGGAGTCAGAAGGAAGGAGAATTTGACAAGACAAGGGAGGGAGGAAAGATAATTGTTGGCAAAGCACCATGTGTCTAATGGAGAGACTGATCTTGTAGGAAGGAGAGAAGGAGACAGCAGAAATGCTCATTTATTCAGCATCTGCTTAGCGCCAGTCATTGTGGTGGAATATTTTTTGTGCAATATCCCACTGAAGCATCAAAGAATCCTGTGATAGGAACTAATAACTTCTGCACAGGCACATTTGAGTATTTAGAGAAATCAGGTAACTTTTCCAAAGTCATGTGAGAAAGTGGCAGGCCCCTCAAATAGTCATTTCTCTGGTTATAAATGCAAAGATGCAAAGTTACAAATCTGCTATTAGATCTATTTTATGGATAGGATTTTTAAGTGGTAATGTGAGTAGTCAAGAGAACTCTGATTAGTGTTGATTGTTTAAACAGATACTTAATAATTTAAGAGGAATGTCCTGTGAGTATGTTCAGCACTTCTCACGGAAGGAATGTATGATTAAAGTTGAAATCTAGCTATTTTATAATCACTGTTAAAATGTTTAATAATTTATGCAAAAGATTCCTTTAAGATGGAAAGGTTTTGAAAGCATATTGATTGGTTGACAAAAATAAAGACTAACAAAGAGCATGTCTTTTAATGGGTTTCTGCATAAATAGATTGAATAAATTTGTTGCTTTTGCCTGCAAATTAAAAAGCCAACACCTATGTATTCTGGATAAATATTTTGCATTTCAGAGATCCAGAGTAACAAAATTTTGTCCATAATCCACAGATGATAGGCAAAGAGGCGTTCTCATATAAGCTACCTATTAAAATTCTTGATTGACAGCTAATATATTCAGACACACCCACACATAGCTGAAGCAGGAACTGCAATAAGGAAGCTGAAATAAAATACTCTGTTTGGGGATTCTGTTACTCAGATGACCTTATTGTAATCAGGTGGAGGGAAAGAAATATGATAATGATCTGGTTACTGCAAAAATATAATGGAATTAATTGGGGGTTTCATTGACACTATGCAACTGGAATTGCCAGACCAAATCACCCTAATCTTGGCACTCTGTCCACTTGCAGCTATTAGCCCTGGCCCCAGTCATTCCCTGTGCCTCTCCAGAGATCAGTTCAGTTTGAGGGATGTACGTCTGCACGGACATGCTCGGTGCAATTCGATTCTGAGGTTGTGATTAAGGGATTGATGGAATCAAAGGCCTGATAGTTTGCCCATGAACATGACTCTCTGCAGGCATCTTGAGCCCTTCTCAATCTTTCCTTCAGATCTTGTCCCAAGAGTGTGTTCAGGATGTAAATGGCACCCCTCTTGTGAAACCCAGGAGAAAACCTAACCATGGCATACTTCATGTGCTTTTTTTAAAATAAACCATTTATCCCCAAGCTCTTAAAAATTTTGGTCATATTTATAAATACTGTAAAGCCAGCATCGTGGTGCAGCAGGTTAAGCGGCCACTTGCTATGCTGCCATCTCCGATGAGCGTGTTGGTTTGAGCCTCCGCTGCTCTCCTTTTCTTTCAGCTTCCTGTTAATGCTGCTCAAACAGCAGCAGGTGGCCTAAGGACAAAGGTCCCTGCCGCTCCTATGGGACACCAAGATGGAGTTCTGGGCTCCTGGCTTTGGCTTGGCTCAGCCCTTACTGTTCCAGCCATTTGGGGAGTAAATCTGTGGATGCGAGATTCTCTTTCTCTCACTCCTATTCTCTCTCTCCCTCTCATCTCTCTGTCTCTGCCTTACAAATAAATAAATGAATAAATAGAATATTTAAAGAAAAACAAACAAATGAGAGACACCAAATATATGATGCTCCTAGAATAATTTTTTTTTTTGACAGGCAGAGTGGACAGTGAGAGAGAGAGACAGAGAGAAAGGTCTTCCTTTGCTGTTGGTGCACCCTCCAATGGCCACTGCGGCCAGCGCGCTGCAGCCGGCGCACTGCGCTGATCCAAAGGCAGGAGCCAGGTGCTTCTCCTGGTCTCCCATGGGGTGCAGGGCCCAAACACTTGGGCCATCCTCCACTGCACTCCCTGGCCACAGCAGAGAGCTGGCCTGGAAGAGGGGCAACCGGGACAGAATCCAGCGCCCCGACCGGGACTAGAACCCGGTGTGCCGGCGCCGCAAGGCGGAGGATTAGCCTATTGAGCCGTGGCACTGGCCTGCCTGGAATAATTTTATCTCTTCTGAACTGGATGAAATTTTCTTCAATGGGCCAGGCAGGAGCCCAGGAATTCATTGCAGATGGACTCCAGGTCACACTTGAGAAACTGCACAAATAAACATGACTGCTGGCTTTTTATCCCCAGCTCACCCTGAACTTGTGACCATGATTTATCTCTCTCATTACAGAGCACATTTGTCCTACAGTTGTCTGCATTTCTTATCTCTTGGATTCTAAGCTGTGTGACAGTGACGGCTACTAATTGTTAACTTATTATTTACACAAAGCCTTTTAGCATAGTGCCCTGGACACATTCAGGCATCATGACAGTTAAGAGCAAGGGCTTTAGAACC